AAAAAAAATTATTTTTTTAATGCACATATAAAATAAGACTGATTATTTTTGATAAAATGTTGTTGTAAAAATAGTCATTTATTAATGAAATTGTGACTATAATGTTTCTATTAAATATAGAATATGGAATTTATAAAAATTTTTCGACATTAAAAGACATAACGTATTAATATTTCTATAATTGTCCAAATAATAAAACCAAAAATATGATTCAAAATGAAATTTTGAAAATAAATTCTATGCTGTGTGTTCTTTTTCTTATTCCATATTTTTAATTTTATTTCATTTTGTAAAATATGTTTCAATAAACATATAAATTAATTTCTAATTCAGATAAATAGAAGATGCATGAAATCATTTTACAGGTAATCCTCAGGCTGAATGTGCCCCACCCCATGACGGACCATACCTCTCTATGACGGCCCATGCCCCGTTCTCAAACGGTTTCTATTTTTATTAATGACATGCACATTTAATTTTAATATAATCGTGGAGGGCTTAAATTGTATTTTTTAGGTATTTGTCTTCATTGTTGAATAGTTTTGATCATTAAATTTAAAAAAATTTCGGTACAATGATTTAATTAGCTTAGGGAGCCGGTAGTGCCCCGCTGCTCTCCCCTATACTGTTGTCTTCTCCGTGGTTAACTCTGCCGGCTTCGGCTTATAAGGTAGTTTCCTCGCGATACTTTTTCTAATAAGCAGTAAAAGCAATTCTAATCTGAGAGGTTATGTTGCATTTTTCTTCCTGAAATCACGCAAGAAAGTCGTTTTTTCGGTGAAGACAGAGAAAAAATTTCGTAACTACTTATTTGCATATTCAAACCTATCGTAATACAATCTTTGTAAAAAAAATATACATTATTTTCACAGTTTCAGATTGATGTAATAATACCAAAAGTTCAGCTTTTCGCTGAGTCACATGGCACAGGTTCAACATAACTATGGCATGTTAACTATTAAGTAACATGTCGTCAGTGTGCAGTTAAAATTTAAAAAGTTATATTACATACTTGTATGTTGATAGTAAAAAAATCCTGCTCTCAGTGTATAAGTATTGTAAGATATCGATGTAGAAACAATAAAAAAAGTACAAAGTGCTGACACAGATTTCCTACCTTGACATCTCTGTATGCTGTTATGAACTCATGTAAGAAGTTCCGGGATTCTCGTGTAGATGGAGAGCAGGTAAATCTGGTATATTAAATGAATGAATTAAACTGTCCAAAGTATTGTAGTGAAACGCTCCGCCGAAAAGGTAACCAAGCCATAAAGCCATATCCATAACGATACATACATTTACATAAAAATGTATTTACGATTTTTTAATGGTATTTAATGTTTGTTGTCTACCTTGTAGCGATCAAAGTAGCTTAGAAATGTATTCACTCACATTCCGGAGTTTAAAATGACCTCAGCTCTCATCGGTGCTTTCAATCTGGTTTCTCTCTTTTAGTTCCTATATTTTTATCTTCCTGTCATTATTTTTCTTAATCACTTTCACGTATCATGTTAATATCCTTGTCTTTATATCTATTTCTCTCTTTGACCCTTTGTTTTTAATGTTCATGGCACCTACCTATTCCCGAATCTCTGACACACTGGCACCTATGTTTGAATTTCTAACTCTGTGTTCCTTTCTCTTTATAGCTCTGTTGTTCAATCTTCTGAATTTCTATTCACAGATCTATGGATTTTAATTTTTTTTATCTTTTGCAATATATCTCTATAACTTTCCCACTTTCCCATCATTATAAAATTAATTTAGCTCTGATCCCTCTAAGGTTCTGTCTTTTTATGTACTAATTTCTTAACATTTCATGACGCTTACATTCTTTTTATCTCTAAGTCTCTGTAACTATCTGTATGATTTTGTCACTGAGTGTCTGAGACTCCAATTCCACGTATCTGCATTTTTATTATAAATAAAATTAACTGCGTACGCGTCCACAATGTATCTGCTTTTATGTATCTTTTATATTTAGCAAAAATCCAAAGTTCGAGGTCTCTGCTTCTAAATCTCCCCAATATTATGTAATTTGTCATAGATCTGTTTCTTTAATAATTTATGAACATGATCTCGGGATATTGCTTGTGGAATCTCAACCAAGTTTGGTTAACCCTTTATAAACCATTCCTTGAAGGAGAATCCATTATCCATTATACATTTTAATTGTTTTTTTTCGTATTTTATAGTTTTTTTTTAAGTGTGTAAGGTAACTTCATAAACTCTAGTATAAGATTAGTTACATATTGGTACTCGAACTTAGTTGAATCAACGTTCACGTTTAGTTCACGTAAATATTGGTTAATCCCTAACTAGGGTGCATTGTCATGATAAGAAGCATGCAAAATCATTACAAAATACTGCAAAAATGTGTTCTCTTATAACAAACAAAATTCTCAGTAAGACCCAAAACTCGTCATTGTGAGTAGTTACTGTCAAACTGCCACCAGAGAAATGGTCATGTTTTAATCATTTCAAAAAATACCTAATTTTAAATGAATGATTCAAATTACTTTAGAGTATACTATTTTTGTTCCATTTTTGTGACTATTGCATCAAACACAACAATAGAAGAGTTTTCTGAATGATTTTTGACGAAAATTTTAACAATGATCTTCACTAACGAAAAAACGCCCCTAAGATAAAATTTTGTTGTGTAGGTCATAGAGAAAGAGTATTGTCTATGGTACAGAGAGAAGAAAAAATATGGAACAACAAAAAAGAGACACTCAGAAGAAGCTGCTGGTTGGTTTCTACTTCATATTATTTCTTGTAGGTATATACGAGCAACTTTATAGAAAACTTAAGTAAGGAATGTATCAAAAATAATACTTTTTATAATCTTTTTCATGGATTTTTGTTTGGTTTTGTACTGATTTTATAAACGGTTTTAAATTTTACAAAAATTTCAGAATGGTAAAATTTTTTTACAAAAAACATAAAGAAAGTCTGCAAAACTCCGAAGTTGTTACATTTTCGTTAAATTTTTTTATTCACACAGGGCAGCAGAAGATAAAAATCCGCATTCGTGTGTCTTCGACCTACCATGGCCCTTAACTTGATTTTTTTTAGTAGAGCTTGGGTGCTTCTACGTATGCAGGTGCAGTTTCATCTACATTTTCGAAAGGTATAAGCAAGCCTCTCCAATATTACGAGGAAAAATATGGGAAGAGGGAGTCGAGAGAATTTTCAATATCCATGCACCGCACACAATAATCCTTCTGGTTTAAGCGAAAAACAGAAGGAAAAAGAGGGAGAAAGGCTCAAAGAAAGGTAAAAAAGCTACCTGTGCAATGTCAATGTATATGAGACCACGTTGGCTTTGGATAGGTCACGTAATTGAGAGGGAGAATCGTTTCATTAGCTTTTTACCGGTACAGTTATCATTTAAGGTCCTTTGGCCGTGGATAGGAGAGCAATCTAATGGCAGAAACAGCAACGGTAAGTACCGGGATGGCGGGTGAAAACGAGGAGGATGGAAAATGGAGGAAAAAGATTGTGCGAGGTATTCAAGTTTTAGTTTCATTCGGTGCATGTAAGGCAACGATAGAGCGTTTTGGTCGTATAACATGGAGGTATTGGGAAGTTAATAGTACTGAGTTGGCACACTAATTGGGTAATAATTAGTTATTAATACTATTGGCAGACTGTGAGAGCATCGTGAGAGAGTACTATGTTATTTAGAAGAACTTGGCTAATAAATAATTTTTACGTTAGAAATGTGAAACAAATACAATGTTAAATTAATGCAAAAAGTTAAACGACTGCCACTTTTTACCGGAGAAAAAGTACCACTATTTTAGTATGAATGTTAAAATTTGTTTTCTTGCTATTTCTATAGATTATCGTTATTTAGCTTATGATGATCCCATTTTAGATATAAGTAGATGTTATAAAAACGTAGAACAACAATATCTACAACTTTTGTCGACACAAATTAATCCAAGCTGTAGTGAAAAAACTGATTTTTATATGTTGAAATATTCTCTTACGTTCTCAGAGTACGAAGCAAACACTAAAAAGTACATAAAAATATGATAAATTTACATTTGTTTAAATATCTACAACTTTTACATTGACAAAATTGTAGTGTCACGTCAACTTTGTACTGTAATAGATTAAATACCCCGTTTTTTAAGTTTTTAAAAAGCTTATTTCATTTAGACTATCGGGATTGTAGTTTAAATAAAAATGTGTATAAAAAAAAAGTTATATTTTAATAAATTCTACAACATTTTTCGATCATATTAACCATAATTTTTATTAAAAATTACAAAAACTTTGCAAGGAAGTGCAATGTAACAGTGTAACACACTCCATATCCTTAAATAACTGCGGATATTGCAAAAAGACAGTGGGAACTGGCATTAGGTGCAACAGCTGTACACAAGCCTATCACCCTTCTTGTGCTCTACGCAGAACTACCTCTACTGAGGGTGTTTATCGCTGGTGTGAGATAAGAAAATCATTGTCATCATCTCCTAGCTCTTCTTCAACCAGCAATCTGACAAAAAAGCGTTGCATAAGTGTACCTACTTGTACGAACCAGAAAACATATACAACTTTAAATTTATATCAAGCTGGTTCATCACATTCTCCAGTACATGATTTAGATATGAGTGAGTCAGCAATGCTTGATGACATTAAAAAACTTATTGAGCAGAGTAATAACTCAATGTCTCAAAAAATAACTACATTAGAAAATAAGCTTGCAGAGAGAGTAATAATGCCTTATCTGCCAAAATCGAGACTTTGAGTGAAGGCTTAAAAAAACTTGAAACATTATCTAGCACTGTACATGACATCAATATAAGACTTGGAATCTTAGAGACTCCTCGGCTCACAAACCAACTTCTCGATGAGTTTCATAACAGACTTACCACACTTGAGAAGTCCACAGCTTCACCTGTTCAACCTGCTGATGAGCTTACCAGAGAAATTCAGGATAGAATACGTAGGTCCTCAAATGTTATTTTATACAATGTTGCTGAATCTACGACTAATACAACTACAGATTTACTACGGGTGAATAATGTACTCACAAAAATCAGAGTGACTGCTACGGATTATGTCTTACGGCTAGGCCTTTACTTGTTTATTTAGGAAATAACAGGAATGTAAGTCATCTAATTTCACAAAGGACTAAGTTGCCTACTGGAGTAACCATATCAACAGACAAGACAAAGGACCAACGTGCACATCTTGCCAAGCTCGTAAACCAAGTTAAAGAACATAATTCCTCCAACCCTTCATTAAAAAAAAGAATCAAAAACATACAGGGAGTACCCATAATTGTAGCTGATACCGACTACCAACCATTTCGTTCCTAGACAGAATAATAATAATAAAAATCTTCAGCATATTTATGCATATTACCAAAAAATCCGTTCTACATATAATAAGCTAACAACACTTGAAACTACATCACATACTCTTACAATAGTACCTAAATTAATTATTTTTACTGAAACATGGCTCAAACTACACACTTTTTCTTCTGAATTGCCACTTCATAATTACTCAATTTATAGACGGAATAGGCAAGAAGTAGAGTCTTCTCATAGACGGGGTGGAGGTGTTCTTGTGTCGGTTAGCAAACGTCTTACATCAAGTAGAGTACCTATTGATGGTAATTTAGAATTGTGTGGTTGTGCACTTAAAACTAACTGAAGTTAGCTACATACTGATAGCTGTATATTTAGCACCAAATTCGTCTTTATCTGTCTTCACTACGTTGTGTGACCTTGTTGAGGTACTCCATGATCAATTCATTACCTGTTAGTTTATAATATGTGGTGACTTCAATTTGGCCAACTTCTCATGGACTAATTACCCACTTCAACTAGATACAATAGGATACACTACGCCAGACAGTCGTCTTGCTGCAACTCGTCTACTCCATACCTGCAATGCTATCGATCTTCAACAATTGTTCACACCTATTGCTGGATATAATTACACCTTAGATCTGCTCTTTACCTGCTCTCAGTCAATAACCATTGCTGATGCACCGGAAATGATTCTACCGACAAACCAGCACCACTCACATAGTGTCTTTTACATATCTAACATTGGCGTTAGGAAAAAGTGAATAAAATTGAATACAGGGACTTAAGAATGTTAATTACTCTGAAATATGTAGTGCTTTGAGTGATATAGATTGGAATAACTTGTTTAGTGATAAAACTACAGAAGATTGTGTTTACTATTTTTACAATATTATTTATAAGATTATTTATAAATGTATTTCAATACTTTATGTTTCTAGTTTTAAGCCCCTTTTATGGTTTACTCAATGGAACAACAAAAAAGAGCTACTCAGAAGAAGCTGCTGGTTGGTTTCTACTTCATATTATTTCTTGTAGGTATATACGAGCAACTTTATAGAAAACTTAAGTAAGGAATGTATCAAAAATAATACTTTTTATAATCTTTTTCATGGATTTTTGTTTGGTTTTGTACTGATTTTATAAACGGTTTTAAATTTTACAAAAATTTCAGAATGGTAAAATTTTTTTACAAAAAACATAAAGAAAGTCTGCAAAACTCCGAAGTTGTTACATTTTCGTTAAATTTTTTTATTCACACAGGGCAGCAGAAGATAAAAATCCGCATTCGTGTGTCTTCGACCTACCATGGCCCTTAACTTGATTTTTTTTAGTAGAGCTTGGGTGCTTCTACGTATGCAGGTGCAGTTTCATCTACATTTTCGAAAGGTATAAGCAAGCCTCTCCAATATTACGAGGAAAAATATGGGAAGAGGGAGTCGAGAGAATTTTCAATATCCATGCACCGCACACAATAATCCTTCTGGTTTAAGCGAAAAACAGAAGGAAAAAGAGGGAGAAAGGCTCAAAGAAAGGTAAAAAAGCTACCTGTGCAATGTCAATGTATATGAGACCACGTTGGCTTTGGATAGGTCACGTAATTGAGAGGGAGAATCGTTTCATTAGCTTTTTACCGGTACAGTTATCATTTAAGGTCCTTTGGCCGTGGATAGGAGAGCAATCTAATGGCAGAAACAGCAACGGTAAGTACCGGGATGGCGGGTGAAAACGAGGAGGATGGAAAATGGAGGAAAAAGATTGTGCGAGGTATTCAAGTTTTAGTTTCATTCGGTGCATGTAAGGCAACGATAGAGCGTTTTGGTCGTATAACATGGAGGTATTGGGAAGTTAATAGTACTGAGTTGGCACACTAATTGGGTAATAATTAGTTATTAATACTATTGGCAGACTGTGAGAGCATCGTGAGAGAGTACTATGTTATTTAGAAGAACTTGGCTAATAAATAATTTTTACGTTAGAAATGTGAAACAAATACAATGTTAAATTAATGCAAAAAGTTAAACGACTGCCACTTTTTACCGGAGAAAAAGTACCACTATTTTAGTATGAATGTTAAAATTTGTTTTCTTGCTATTTCTATAGATTATCGTTATTTAGCTTATGATGATCCCATTTTAGATATAAGTAGATGTTATAAAAACGTAGAACAACAATATCTACAACTTTTGTCGACACAAATTAATCCAAGCTGTAGTGAAAAAACTGATTTTTATATGTTGAAATATTCTCTTACGTTCTCAGAGTACGAAGCAAACACTAAAAAGTACATAAAAATATGATAAATTTACATTTGTTTAAATATCTACAACTTTTACATTGACAAAATTGTAGTGTCACGTCAACTTTGTACTGTAATAGATTAAATACCCCGTTTTTTAAGTTTTTAAAAAGCTTATTTCATTTAGACTATCGGGATTGTANCGAGTAATTTACTAAGAGATTATATTGAATTTAAAAGGCTCAGAGCTGAAAGTGTCAAATTATCACGTACTCTCTATCGGAACTATGTTAATTTATCTGAATTTGGACTATAAAGAGATGTACGTCGATTTTGGAGATTTGGGACTCTAGTCAGATCCTGAACACTATTCACTTAAACCAAGAGAAGCAACATAACATCATGACAAATTCCAACTATTTACAAAATACTTCTCCTCATTTTTTAAAAGACCATCCACCATTTCATCTCTCACTACACCTCGCACTTCAGTGAACATAGACATGTCTTTTTCTTCTGCCCAAATTTCCATCGCAATTACTCACCTATAACCATCAAACACTCCTGGCCCCGATTTCATCCCTGCATCATTTATCATCGATTGCCGTCATCTCTTATCTCTCCCCTTAGCCATACTTTTCACTCAGTGAAGGCACTTTCCCTAGTGTTTGGAAATCCTTATACGTATTCCCAATATACTCTAAGTCAGGTGACCCTTCACTTACCTCTAATTTTAGGCCAATAAATAGTTCAACCCAGTTCAATACCTAAACTTTTTGACTATCTAGTCCACCAAAGATTATCCCCTATCGTGTCACCTTCAATCGGCCACCAACAGCACGGGTTTGTTGAGGGTCGCTTCACTTTAACTAATTTACTTACACTTAGTAATTTTGTATCTTCAGCGTTGGAGGAGGGATATCAGGTCGATGTCATCTTATTGGACATGGCCAAAGCCTTTGATAGTTTTCCACATGATATTTTACTCTCACATCGGTCCGCTTCTCTTTTTCATGGTTATGAATAGTTTCCTGTCTTCTATTTTCACCTCATCATGCTTAATATATGTTGATGATATAAAATTATTTTAAAAAATCAATACACCCAGTGAATCAGCTGGCCTTCAGTTGGATCTTACCAGAGCTGCTATCTGGTGCGCAAACAATGGTTTCACTGTTCACGAAAATAAATGCAAAATACTATCAGTTACCAAATCGAAATCTACAATATTCTTTCAATACACAGTTACTGGCACACCTATTAATAGAATTGAATCATTATCTGACCTAGGAGTTACTCTTGAATCTACTTGGGATATTAACGGTCATATTAACAAAATAGTTACCAAATCACTAAAAACCCTAGGATTTATCCAAAGATGTACACGTGATTATACCAGACCTGAATCCATAATACATTTATTCAAGTCGTTGGTTCTGCCTCAACTTATTTATGTCTTAATTATTTGGACACCCTAAACACAAGCTAACTTTTCTCTACTTAGTAAAATAGTTCATCGAACACTTCACCTGGCCTCTTGCAAAACCAATAACTTAATGTAACACTTTGACCATAGTTACTTGCCACTACTGATCAAATTTTCCGTACAACCTATAGAACTTGTACATAAATACCACAACTGCTTATTCTTATTCAAACTTACACATAATCACATACACTGTCCTGATTTATCTGCTCTCTTTTTACCTAGACATCTCTTTTTATTGCCACAATGAATACAAATACATATTATCCTATCTGGAAGATTTAAGTGATTACTGTCATCAGGGTTATAATGAAAAGCTGATCACTCACGTAATAGATTCTTTATTTGTCGATTTTGACGCTGCGGTTTTAATCTCGATAAATGTTCTGCATCAGTTTTCTGACGCCTACAGTTGTAAACATTTGAAGTTTTCCTTCCAATTTGTTCTCTTGTGACTATAGGCACGGTTCTAACTTTTGTGAGTCCTAAAAGGTGTTTTTTGTCAACTTTGTTAAATTGTAATGTATATGTTAGCAAGGTAGTTCGACGCCCTATGACCCAAAAAAGGATCGATAAGCTAAACTCTTTCTTGGCTGAAGTTTCCAGCAAACGTGACTGTCTGGATACCTCACGGTGATATTCTCTGACTTTTTGTTGAAGCACCAGACTGGCAGAGAGGAAAACTATAACGTCTGAATCGTCTGCTTGCCTGTTGGAGATTCCGGGTTGAATGCTTAGAGTCGAGAGGATAATGCAGGATTGTCGGTAGTCGGTGTATCCAGCCTCGTGACAAAAAACTCCGATCGCGACGTCTGCCAGTGAATGACTAACGTGGTTTAATAAGAGCTGGTTTTATATATTATAGTCTTTCAGTCAATGAATCGTTGATGGAAATGGTAGTATAGATGTATTTGTTGGCAAGGTAGTTTAATGTTAGATGGTCTTGAAAAGAACCGATGAGATAGATGGTTAATTAGGGAACGTAAATACTTATTATGGCCCTAAAAAGGTGGTGGTTTTCCTTCCAGTCATTTATTATTATTATTAGGTTTGTTCATTTATCCACCTTGGAGCTCTCCAAGCGCTCTGAGGCCTCCGAGCGGTCTATAAATGAACACGAGTTCTTTGTCGCAGCACTCGGATGCCTCCGAGATATCTTTATACTATATAGGTAAACTCACCGCTTATAACTGATGTTTTTAAACACTGAGCAGTTATAGTGAGTATACCTATATAGTATAAAGATATCTCGGAGGCCTCTGAGTGCTCCGACAAAGAACTCGTGTTCATTTATAGACCGCTCAGAGGCCTCGGAGCGCTCGGAGAGCTCCAAGGTGGATGAATGATTAAACCTTTTATGATTATTATTATTATTACTAGCAGCCCCCCATCTCGGCTTCGCCCGAGAATTACTAAATAAAACACCGTAGTGTGTTGACATGTAATGTGAAACGTTTTCAGTTAGAAATTTTTCACATATTCCTGACACATCTCAGAACGAAAATCTTCTTATTAAAAACATATTTTTTCGGAATCCATATAGTTTATTTGGTCAAATAATAAGGTGTGAAAATTCAAAAAAAATAATTATGCTAAAAAGTACCGTGCATTCTTTATGCCATAAAATAATCAGTGGCCATAAAAAGCCGTTGATTTACAGTGTAACCCGTATAATTCACGAAAAGGGCTATTTTTTAAAGCTGTTAAGATTTTAAATCCCCAAAAAATTTATATTAAAAAAAAATTTTTTTCTCATATCTCACAACTTTATTACCAGAGCAACAAAGTCCTGGACCTTAAACCCTACATTTTTATTGCCACAAAAACACAAATACATTTTCTACTCATTAAAAAATCTGAAGTAGGATCTTTAAAGATTTCAGAGATTGCTGTGAGGGTACAATGAAAAGCTGATCTCTCACGTAATGGACTCTTTAGTTGTCGATTTTGACGCTGCTGTTTCAATCTCGATAAATTTTCTGCGTCAGTTTCTTGACGCCTAAGTAAAATTGTATTTATTAGATACACTTGAAGTTTTTCTTCCAATTCACCCTCTTGCGACTTTTGGCATGCTAAAAATTTTTGTGACCCCTAAAAGCTGTTTTCTGTCAACTTTGTTAAGTTCTAATATTTTTGTTGGTAAGGTAGTTCGACGTCCGATGGTCCTAAGAAAGACCTTTTTTATTTTGCAGATTCAGTTTTTTGGTGATCTTAGATGGGGAGATTGGTTAGTGATACTTGTGCACCTTTTTTATTTTGTAGATTCAGTTGTTTTCGTGATCTTAGATGGGGAAATTGGTTAGTGATACTTGTCCAGTGGAGGCTGTCCCGTTGGCTCAAGTTTTTTTTTCCTTCATAGCTGTTATAGGTTTGCCCAGCGCAGACCTTGGAGAGGATCAGTGATTTCTGGTTAAATGCTTAGAGTTGAGAGGGTAATATAGGGTCGTCGGTCACCAGGTTTTCCAGCCTTGCGAAGAACAACTTCGCAGGTGACGTCTGCCAGTGAATAGCTGACTTGGTTTAATAGTGCCCGTCTTTAGTCAATATAGTCTTTTAGTCGACGAATCGCTTCCGGAAATGGTAATAAAAATGTATTTGTTGGCAAGGTAGTTTACACTTAGGCGGATCCTAAAAAGAACCGATTAAATTGATAGTTAAGTAGGGAACGCCAATACTTATAATGGCCCTAAAAAGCGCCAGTGGTGAAACTTCCAGGCTATTCTTCATTATTATTCCTGATGATGAAGAGCTGGCTACGGGTTGCTTGATTCTTACCCTGGGAGTCTCGATTTACGGAGACTGTGATAGAAGGAGGTACGCCGCTGACCAAAGAATATCTCGTCATTCTCGTCTTGGGTCGTACCTCGGATAACCAACCGCTCATCGTTAGATGTGGGTAAGCGCGTTGGGGACGCGACGACTAAGAAGGTAGCATTTTTGGCTGCCCGTGCTCCTCAGAGCTGTTTTCCCTGGCTTACATTTGTGGCCAAAAATTCTCTGACTGTACCAGGCGGGATGGTGGGACTGCCACACATCTCTGAAGAGTTGGTGCAGATTGTGCTCGGGCTAGATATGTCTCCTGGTATTGTGGCAGAGACGGCATCGGTTGGAATAATTTTTTTTTTGATCGCACTCACTGAGGTTCAGGGTGAATTGACACCTAGGTCCCTTCCCCCTTGGATAAGAGTGTCGTCCATAACCAGGATACCCAGCTGCAAGACTGTCATCACCATTCCATATACAGCTCGTTGAACTTCCATAGCTCATCTACATCTTTCTCGAGACGCTCCGGCGTATTATAACCACACTTATTTAATTCTGTTGCAGGTAGCCTCGATTTTATGCCGACGCCACCTAGCGGATTTTACTGAACTAAAATGAAAAGCTGGCGTATTTTCGCAAAACTTCGAGCTCATTTATTGCTATTGTTATTAAATTTTTTACGATAAAAACTATACTAAAACCATCTAGGAAGTATCATGAATCAGTGTGCAAAATTTCAACAAAATCGGTTCAGTAGTTTTCGCGGTTAGCGATTACAACGGTTTTAGCGTTCTTGCTTTATATATTAGTAAGATTATAATTATTATTATTGTTATTCTCGATGATGAAGAGCCAGCTGTGGGTAGCTTACCTCTTACTCTCAAGCGCTTTCCACATTGAGCCGTAGAGCAGTGCGCGTAAGTCAGGCTTTCTTAAAATGCGCGCATTGCCAACATAAACTTTAAAAATGCGCTTCGTATTCAATGCGTGAGACTTCAAAGAGTCTTTGCGTACGGAGACCGTGCTGTAGGGAGGTATACCACTGGCCGAAAAATATCTCGTTCTCGAATTGTTCCCCGGATAACCAACCGTTCACCGTTGGTTGGGGAAGTGAGCCTGGAGAATATACCTCCTCTATAAGTATGCTGTTGGGACGAACCACTGAGGAGGAAGGCCAATGAAGTTTCCAGTTGATGTGGCTTCCTGAACTTCTCCAGGTTGTTTTTCTTGACTTGCTGTTGTAGCCAAATCTGTTCTGGTAGCACCAGATCGATTTGAATAACGGTCAAAAATCCTGAAGTGTTAGAGCAGGCTGTGCTCTGGCTAGACGTCTCCTGTTATTACGCCTGAGACGTTAGCGTTCAGAACGCATGTTATTCATGGCACTTATTAATCCTGATGGGTCGGGATGGAATTCAACGTAAGTCACTTGTCCATTACAAAGCAGTGTCATCAGTAGCTGGGATACCCAGCTGCTCGGCTCACAACTCTTCTCTTGGTGCACTGCCGGTGAATGACGATGATATTCGGAAATTTTCTCGAGGATATTATAACCAAACCCACTTACTTCTATTAAAGGTAGCTTCGATTTTACTTCTACGCCACTTAGCGGATCCTACTGAACTAAAGTGGAAAGCTAGCGTATTTTTGCAAAACTTTGAGCTTATTTATTGCTTTTGTTGTTAACTTTTTCAAGCTAAAAATTATACTAAAATCATCCAGGAAATGTCAAAAATTAGTATGCACAATTTTAGCCAGATCGGTTGAGTAGTTTTCGTGGTAAGCGATTATTACGGTTTTAGTGACTTTGCCTTATACATTGGTAAGATAAGATAAGATAAAATTAGTAAGATTAGTAAGATAAGATAAAATAAGATTAAGCATACCAAACTACAAAAGGTGAACATAAGTTAGCTCCGAGGTTAGCTCATTTTCGTTTTTCGAAACGTTTAGATGAAAACATTCTTAATCTCACCCTTGCAAAATTTGTGTTGGCACTAATTGTACAAACCTATCTGTAAGATAACTTATAGTTTAAATACCATATTTTCGTATGAATTATAAACTCATAGTTTAAAAATGTTTGATAAATAATAGTTTATGCAACATAGTATAATTAATGTGAGGGGGATTCGAGAATTATGTGTTATTTTATTTCATCCTAACTCTAGTTAAATAAATGATTGGTCTAAATATTAATTCAAACGAATCAAGTAGAGTCACCGTTGATAATATCTATGTGATCAATTTATTTCATTAAAAATTTTTCTGTAATTTAACGCAATTGATCTTTGAAAAATCCTCCCAAATAATACACTTAACCTTTATCTACCAATCATACAAAAAGTAAAAAAGCTGTGGTCATGTGAGAAACAATCTTTTAAGGTAGGACATTGCTGCCTATGCCTTGCTTGTTATTTTATCTCCTTAAGATAAAAATTGAAAAAAGTATAAATTAAATTATGAAATCCGTGCGATAAATTGAGTTCTTAAAAATTACTGTATCCAAATAAATCTGAATAAAAAATGCTTTTGGTGGTTTTTAAAATGTCTTTTTTATTTAACTTTATTGATAGACATAAATATTAACTTCTTATTTTTTTTTTCTTTCTGTATCAATCAATCCTTGAAGAACTGATGTCCTGAAGCTATTTTTGTCGAATAAGAGCCAAAATGGCTTCTCGACGCATGTGCGCAATGAGATGGCTCGATTGAATGAAGCTCTTTTGGCACACGGAGCAACTATAAGGTCGCTCGCCAGTATGAATACGCTTATGAGAAGAAAAATCGCTCGATCGAGTGAAATCCTTATGGCAAATAAGGCACTTATAAAGTCGCTCACCGGTATGGATGCGCGCATGCACCTTCAAGTCGTTCTTCTGAAAAAAAGCTTTTGAGCAATCAGAGCATTTATAAGGTCGTACACCCGTATGGATACTCATGTGCTTCTTCAAGTTGCTGCTCTGAGAGAAAGCTTTTGAGCAATCAGAGCATTTATAAGGTCGCTCACCTGTGTGGGTACGTATGTGCTCTTTCAAGCATCTGCTATGAGAGAAATCTTTTGAGCAATCGGAGCATTTGTAAGGTCGCTCATCCGTGTGGGTGCGCGCATGCACCTTCAAGTTACTGCTGTTAGAGAAAGCTTTAGAGCAATTGGAGCATTTGTAAGGTCGCTCACCCGTGTGGGTGCGCATGTGCTCTCTCAAGCTGGTGCTCTGAGAGAAAGTTTTTGAGCAATTGGAGCATTTGTAAGGTCGTTCACCCGTGTGAATGCGCATGTGCTCTCTCAAGCTGCTGCTCTGAGAGAAAGCTTTTGAGCAATCGGAGCACTTGTAAGGTCGTTCACCCGTGTGGGTTCGTATGTGCTCCTTTAAATTGTTGCTGTAAGAAAAAGCTTTTGAGCAATGGGAGCATTTGTAAGGTCGTTCACCCGTGTGAATGCGCATGTGCTCTCTCAAGCTGCTGCTCTGAGAGAAAGCTTTTGAGCAATCGGAGCACTTGTAAGGTCGTTCACCCGTGTGGGTTCGTATGTGCTCCTTTAAATTGTTGCTGTGAGAAAACGCTTTTGAGCAATGGGAGCATTTGTAAGGTTGCTCACCCGTGTGGGTGCGCATGTGTCTTGTAAGACTTCCGTTCTCACTGAAATTCCAGTGGCACAAGGTGCATTGGAAGGGCTTATTGCCCATATCGATGCATACATGACTCGTGAAATCGCCATTTTCCCTGAATGCATTTGAACATTCAGGGCTATGATATAGATGCATATTGTTGTGGGTTGGCGTGTGCTGCATAAGGTCAATCGACGAGTCAAATGATTCTTTGTCCACAGAGCAGCCACTTAAGTGGATGAGTTTGTGGGCTGTACGATTGATATTCCTATCAAAAGTTTTTTGTTGGCATATGGAGTTGGAACTGCAGAGTTGTTCATCTGGGTTTATACGTATATGTTTTTTGAGATCGCTTGATGAGTTAAGCTCTCGTTGGTACATGGAGCATTTATAGGTTTGCTCACTGGTATTGATTCGCATGCATCTCTTGAGATTGCTGGTATCGCTAAGAGCTTTTTGGCACACTATGCAGTTGTGTAAGCAATCTAGTATGTGGTTGTCATTTAGCTTTGAACTTTCAGCCATGCTTGTTACTTCTTGTTTATGAATTCGTCAATTCTCTTAGTAGATTTTTTAACGTTGATCTTTCTTCTTTTTGTTAAGATGCACCAATAGTTTTGTTTCGAGGACGAAGTATATAAGTTCCAATAGTCTTTTTGCTGTGGACATTAAACAATAATTACTTTATTGAGAACATTAGTAGTCTATCTACGAAAATGTAATAATTAATTTTATAATGGTAACCAGTGAATCAAAATTTTAACAAATGGCATAAACTCTATAAAGGGAAGTTCATCTAATTATTTGTTAGTGTAGTTTATCGAGGTACATGGATACAAATGGATATGATTAAAAAAAATTTTTATCATATAAAATTTTCTCACAATATTGTCAAATGAAAGCTTGCGTGTTTGGTTAACTTTGAGATTATAATTAGTTATGGATAGATAATAACATACTTTTATATTCAAGAGAGTTTTTCTTGAATCAGTCGTAGCGTGAATATAAATTTTTAGAAATTCATAAAACTTTTAAAAGTTGTTAAAAGCGTTATACTCTCACGTCAAAAGAGTTAAAACTGGAGGTCAAAAGAATTCTACAGAATTATTCTTTTTAAAGTAGTGAAATCTTATTTTTACATGGAGAAAAGAATCACAGAAATTTTTAGAGTATCAGCACCGGTAACTCTGTGACATTTTGTTGTAAAGTAAATTTTTACTGCAGCGGTACATGAATTTCTGCCGTAGTTTATGTCAATATTTATGGTAACTGTACAATTTACCGGAGTAAGTATATAGCTATAGGCTATAGGGTTATACGTGGGTCGGGGGAGAAGGGCGATCAGTTGCCTGCTGCAGTGAGCCACAACTTGTACGAGGGAACGGGAGATGTCTGGATAACAGAAATCAGTACATGTATGAGAATAAATCATGAGCAAGCTCAACCACCAGAGGGCATCAGGACAAGCTGCTACCTAGAGATATAGATATATTATTTAAACACGGTTTATCGGTTTATCTATCATGGCGTCTCACCAATATACTTTCATTGTTACTTGTATGTGACAAAGTAGGAGATTTTAAATTTAAAGGATGAATGAGTGAATTTTCAAAGAGAACTATTAATAGTTTAAATATAAGTCAATTTAAGAAACTGCTAAAAGCAACAATGAAAATAATTTTTATGAATTTTTTTATGAAACAATGTAAATAAACTGTATTCAAATAATATATCTATATATCTCTTGGCAGCAGCTTGTCCTGCTGCCCTCTGGCGGTTGATCTTGCTCATGATTCATAATTCATCCTCATTGGGTGAAACTAAGCTGACACGCCAATTATAAAAGTAAATTTACATAAGGTGATGAACTTTAGAATCTGCGAGAGTTAGCTCTTGAGATTCAATCCCAATGAATGAAAGTAAGAGTACAATTATGATTTGTATAGTATAGTTTAGCCCAAACTACAGCAGACAACTGCTCGGTCTTCTTCTCTGGCCCACGTGACCTGCAGTCGAAGGCTATGTGATTTCAGGAGAAATTTTACTGTTGTCGTACAGTTAAAATTATACCTAGTGTATTCCCTGGTAGAAATTTAATCATTTTTGCTAGTCAACTGAGAAGTTCTTACCAAGTTCAGCTCGCCAACTCTTACTGCCCTTACTGGCGATTAGACGATAAACTTGGTACTAACTGGGTAATACGTAAGTAGTGAATAGGTATATAGCGTGATGTAACCTCTCAGTGCATGTTGTAGGAACGTAAAAAAACTTATTTTGAGCGAGTGAGACAGATAGAGAGACTATAAGCTCGTTGTTAAGTGTATCGCGAGCGTATCGGGATATAATGTAATAAAATAGACCATGATTATAGTTGGTAAATTTTTCAATTATCCATAATATCGTTAAGTTCTGGCCAGCAATAGTAGTAAGTTTCTACCAAGGTTTTGGCTAAATTTTAAAATTATCGTAAAAATTACTGTAAACTAGTACACATTTATGTACCGCTGCCGCAAAAATTTACGTAACTACAAAATATCACAAGATTACCAAACGTTGCTTTTGGGGTAAAAATTCCTGTGATTCTTCAAAAGATTTAATCGAGCATTCTTCGTTTGAAAAGCGATTTCAAAAAATTACTTTTTCAAAAAAAAGAAAAACACAAAATAAGTATTTTAAAAAAAGGAAAAACATAAAATTACTCTTTTAAAAAGAGGAAGTTCGAAAAATGACACTGTTAAAAAATTCAAATGAGAAACTTTAATATTTGTCGTTTTCTGCTCTTGCGTGCGATGACTATAAAGAGATTAACATGGGAAATTGTATGTAATAGTTAATCAGTTATCGAAATATACTTGGTAAAAAATTATGAATTGAATTAGAGAGTGCAGATACACTAGACGGCCAGATATTCCTGACCCCTCCAACGAGTTGAGTGACACTGAAGTCATATACTGGAGTACATGATTCCAGTGACTCTCAACCCGGGGGGGGGGGGCTGCGAATATCTGGGCGTCTAGTGTATATAATGATTCAGTCAATGCAATGAACCTTCAATACGTGAATTTTCAATTTCATCAATAAAGTTAGTGTGCGGTTCCACACTTTTATCTGATGGTATCTCGAAAATTTTCCTCGAGATTATCGAGACTTTTCGAAAAGTCTCAAAGGTCTCGAGGATTTTCTTTAAGACTTTCAAGACTTACAAAAGTATCGAAGGTCTTGAACATTATCTTTGAGACTTCGAGATGAGAACGAGACGAGATGAGACTCTGGCAGAGATGTGGTTGCGATATTTTGATACATGGTAAGACTTACAATTTTTGTAATAGTCACTATAAAATAACCAGAATCGAGGGTAACGTGCATGCATAATTTAGGGGTTATCGAAAGAAAGTCTACTTTTGCTGGATATCGTACAATCATGATCAGACCCCTGGTCTCGTCTCATTTGGTCTTGGCATCGATATTTTATTATCAAGGCTGCCTCGTCTTGTCTTAAAGTAAGTATTGCACATGCTTAATACATAGTATTGCATTAAAATAAGACTATTCATTAATTATTACTGGGAGTGATGTTTTTAAATGATAATTTTAAATACTTAATTTTTTGAGTCTCTAGAAGAGACTAAAAGAAGTAATTTAAGTCACCCGACTACCTTCTGGTAAGAACACATCATACTGCATCAGGTTCTATACACCGTGACCATATCCCAACAGGACGTTTACTTTATTTGTTGTCATGCCTAAAGCGTAACTTTTTCTTGCCCATATTTATACACCATATGGATTCATACATGTGGCACACTATAATAAACGATTTTAAGTATATAGGCTTAACCGCTTCGTGATTATCGCACGCGAGAGCACAAAACGATTAATATCGAAGTTTCCTTTTTCCAAAGGGTAAAACCATTTCATATCAAAAATTTAACTAGACAATTGTGAATAAACATTAGAGGCTTAAACTGTTGAAAGAAGTATGAATTAAAGTAATGCAGGATGAATAAAAACATAAAACACTTCCATGCATTGGTTTACGTATACGAAATTTTACCTTCTGACAAATTGAGGACTGCAGTTGTGAATGTCGTAACGGCTGTTGGCTCCATGAATTCGGTAATAATAGACTTTTCACGTAGACTTTTATGCCTAATATGTCACTTGAGTGTAATAAATTTCAACTTGTGCTATTTTATGACATACCATAGCAACGACAAAGAAATACTGAAGTCTATACTTTTCGATTTGAAATACTGCGATCTATATAAGTCAGCCGATAAGAAGATAATGCTTTGACTCCAACTATTACAAAATATAGTTTTTCAAGTATTTCAAATAATTATCAGTAACAAAAAAATATCGTTAATGTGATTTTAATATATTTTTTCCAAGCAGTACTTAATTCCAATTAACGTATCACACTCTAATCAGCTTTTTAAATTAAATATATGATCATGCGTGAAAGGTATGTTTCTTGAGACAAAAAACTTCATTCGATTGCAAGTATGAAATATATGTATTCAATTTTAAAATAAATGAAGAACGAGTTTATAAGTCAATCTTCACAATTAATCAATGAATACGAGTGTTACAATTGTTTCGGTACATACTATACCTTCCTCAGACACAGAGGTTTATAAACTACATTTGGCTTTTCAAATAATACCAATACATATCAGCATATCGTCAACTTATTCATACTTTATACGAACATACTTTTATTTCAAATTTAATAGAGGTGAGTCATTTTAATCTAGCAGACAGTTAAGCAAACGTTCAGTGTCCCTCAAACTATTAATATCAGCTGCTTTCAAAGAATTTAACAATTTTTCCTTATTAGCTATATGAAAAACTTTTAATTCATAGTTAAAATCGTGATTATATTTTAACAGATGAGATGCATAGTTTGACTTCTTTGTACCATTAACGAAGTCTTTAACATGTTCCTTTAAAAGTTTAGCAAAAGTTCTACCAGTTTGTCCTATGTACTTTTTGTCACATGACCCGCATTGCAAGCTATATACGCCCGACTTTTAAGACAGTGCTGCTTTATTTTTATTATTTTTTAAATTTTGATCATACCCATTACTTTTAGTTAATTGTTTAATAATATTTAATTCTTTCGTATAATTATTCTGTGACATTGGAACTAACAGCAATCTATATACGTAGCTATAAAATACAGCTATTTTGTGCGAATACGGATGAAGTGATTTATTATGAATTAGAATATCTGTGTGTGTTGGTTTATGAAAAATACTAAATTCTAAGTGGCTATGAACTCTATTAACTTTTAAATCTAAAAAATTTAGTGAATTATTATTTTTTCTATTTATATTGTGAATTCAATATTTTTGTGTAATTTTTTAATAAAATTTAAAATTAACTGTAATTGTCTCTGTGATCCTTTAAAAACACAAAATACGTCATCTACGTATCTGTACCAATACACAAGATTTACACTTAGTGGACTCGACATAATTAAATTTTCCAAATAATTCATGAATATATCGGCTACTAAAGTG